TTCGTGCTCGGCCCGGGGAGGGCCGGGCGTTACCCCGGCTCGCTGCCGCCGGCCGTGCGGCGTCTCCCGCCCTCGGAAAAGCCCCTGTTGTGGCTGTGGGAAGGAGCCAAGCGTTAAGCCCTATCTCGCTCCCTCGGATAAACGCGGTGAGAGTTGTGTGCTCCGCACCTTCTGAGTGTAACCCTCCGCTGTGCTCCCCTGCGTGGTCTTTTTGTGGACAAGCTGTCATTTGGGAAGGTGCGTGGGGCCCTTTTCTCTCAGCCTGTGCTAGTCTCCGTTACGTTGTGCACAGCTTGGACGTGTTTACCTGAGCCTGCCCGCAGAAAGGTAGTGCCAGTCTGGTGGATGCTTATTTCTTTAAATAAAGGTGAACATTAAATGTAAATACGTGGTTTGGTTTAGCTTAATACTGTAAAGAGCAAAAAGTAAACTGAACTGAACTGAATACTGTATGGCCAGAATGAAATGGACTTCTATACTTGCACCAGGATCACTTAATGTGTTCAATGGGCTATCCTACCAACAGTGTGTTAAAAGAAATGTTGCAGTAGGTTTCCAAGGAATCACAATGATGGTGCTGGTGTAGGAGCAAAGGCAGTGGAAAAGCCGTGGCTGTTGGGCCAGACATAGGAGAGACAGGCAGAAGTGCTTTATAGAGTTTTTTATAGTTAAAATGTAATGCTAAAAATACTGTCGTGCTGTAGAAAAGGCTAAAAAATGTTCTCTGCTAGTGCTTCAGTAAAGTAACTACAGGCTTAGGATGAGCAAGAGGTATTGTGAATTGTAGTACAGGATGATGATGGCTGGTGTAGTAATCACACGGGAAAACAAGTAAGCATGTTTTGATTGTCAGTTAATATAGGTCTCTCTTATTCTTCAGGTAAAGCAAATTGAAAAACGAGACTCTGTTTTAACATCAAAAAACCAAATTGACAGGCTGACCCGACCTGGATCTTCATATTTCAACTTGAACCCTTTTGAGGTTAGTTTCAACATTTTATCCTCCCTTCGTACTTGGTATACCAATTTCCAGATTTACAGGGTATTTATTTCAGTAAAAGGACTGGACATAAAGAAAGAAAAAAATTCTCTAGATGTAGATTACTGTGCAGAAGGCTTACAGAGGACAGAAGGATGGTGTATATGTGCTCGCTCTCTTTTTCACTGTTTTATGGCAGGTGCAAACTACATGCTTTTGTCACATTTCCCCTGTGCAACAGCACTGGAAGATTTGGCAGATTAATGAGAATGTAACAGCTACTGGTACCATGCTTGTCAGTTTCTGTTCTGAGCACTCTTGACTTGGCGTTTCTAGTTGTGTCTTCTATTTTGGATATTCATCCCACTGAAATTGCATAGTGCATAGAATGAGAGGACTCTCACTGCTCACAGTAGCGAGCAATCTTTTGAGGAGTCACTGGAAGACAGGTAATTCCCTTGCACATTACATAGTTTGATTCCAGTTGCTGTCAGTTATAAAGTCTCAACAAGTATGAAAGCCTGAGGAAGACAGTAAATAAAACAATCTGGTGTTCATCTGGGGCTGGCTTTCCCCATGTGTATTCCTTCCTGATATCATCTTTATTTGCCTTTTTAAAGCCTCAGTTGCTTTTTGTAGTCCCAATTCAGGGCTGGTCAGCCAGATCAGTTGGCAGATTCACCTTGACAATGTTCAGTTCTGTGTAGGTCTTAGTACTTGACTTGGAGAGTACATTGCGAAAGCCATTTAGCTTTCCTGCTGAGAGAGTTTTTTTTAATTTACAGATTCTTAGTGTCAGACCATGTGCATCTGCGTTGCCTAGGCTCACTTGTTGCTTAGGGCTTCTGTTCAGTAAATTAATTCACAAAAGAGCTTCTAAACGCTGCCACATCCCTACAGATCAGTAGACAAGTGGGCTCGTTCATGGAAACCAAAGAGTAAAACTCCCCTGTCTTCTTTTAAAATGATAAAATGAATAAATTCTTATGAAGTAGTGTGTTTCCTGCCCAGAGTTCTCAGTTATGAATGATCCGACAGTGTCCCAAAGCCACCATATGCTTCCTCGTCTGCCAGACTAACCATCGCTATAGGACTGGTTGAAGATTTAGACTTATTGTGGCTATTTAGGGATGGCAGCTGTCTACATGAGACTTGAGTGTGGAAAGGACACTGGCATAGTTGGAGGAATCTAGCATTGCTAAAAGTAGAATGTCCTAAACATGGTGTCTCTTAAAATGTTTCTGTTTTACTAGGTGAAAATTCATGTCCTGAAGCAGCTCCCTGATGGGGGGAGCTTTCTGGCATTGTGTCTGTATGCCAGTGAACCAAGTGTTTAGAGCTTGCTGCTAGGAACCTGAAATATGGGGAGTATCATTGAATTTGCTCTGCTCTCATGGTCTCTTTTAGGTACTGCAGATGGATCCTGAAGCCACAGATGAAGAGATAAAGAAAAGATTCCGGCAGGTATTTGGCTTTTTGCACTTGAAGCCTCTGGAAGGAAACTAGAAGCTCTGTAGAGATTGTGCATCTGTGCTTGGGAACAAGAAAAATGGTGGTAAAGCTGTATCTGGGTAGAGGAGTAGCCATTTTGGGAAGAAATGCCTAGAACAATCTTTGTGTTAACAAGAGGAGAGCTGCAGAATGTCCCTGGTCCATGCGTGGTATGCTTCTTTTCCTGTAAAGTGTGTGATGGGGCTATTGCAAACTGATACGTCCTTGTATAATCAGCTTATTGAACTTTAGTTCAAAGAGAAGGTCAAAATTCATCAGAAATTAAGAACTGAGAAAAGGTGTTTTTCTCAAATGTATGGACTTGGATCCAGAAATGTATTTTCTGTGAGGTTTCTTTAAGAATTTCAGTGGTCATTTTTGGTGGCTGGGTTACCTGGAACAGCAGCAAGTCTGCTCACAGACCTGTCTGCATTGCCCCATGCAACACAGAAAACATTACCCCAGACTTACTCTGCTGACAGATCTGCAGGAGAAATTTGAGTTTAATCAGTGCATGCAGCAAAGAAACACAGTATTTGGAGAGCTGTAGCCTCTTACCTGAATTAGTGGTGTAAACATCAAGAACTGTCTTCAGACAGGAAGCTGTGCTGGCTGTCAGAGTAACATGCCTGCCAAGTTGGTGATGGGATATGGGCTGCTTCTATATGTGGGAAGTGGGAGGATAACCTTTTAGTCTGTTGCTGACTTCTCAGTTCTGCGAATCAATAAACTGGGGCTGTCTTAGCTTTAGGCTGGTAGAATACTACAGGGAAGTGTTTTGAAATCAATGGGATGAAATGAAAAACGTGCATGGAATTGTGTATCAAACACCTAAATACAGAATGTGGAACAGCCAACAGAAGGAAAAAGGCATTGGCTGTATCAAATCACAGAGTAAATCAGGAGCACGCTACTGTTCAGGACTGGAGGCAAACCTTTTTCCCGTGAACTAGAAAGTGCCATCTGTAGAGTTCAGGAAGTAATTATTTGGCATTCTTTGGCACTGATGCAATTTCAGTTGCCGCACTGTGACTGGTTCTGAACGTTACACTAGGAAAGATGCAGATAAACTAGAAAGTCCATACAGCAACACCAAAAATAAGAGGTCTGAAAGAAAAAATGCCATATGGGGAAAGTTTGAAAGAACTTTCTCTTTCTTTAGAAGAGGAGGGTGGAGGGCATATGCTTTCCAGCCCATTTAAGGTTGCCCTAAGGATGGTAGTGATCAATGTCCTGTCTCTCCTGGGTAGAGAGTACAGGAAGGTGTTTTCTTAACTCTCAGTAAAGGAGCCTAAGGAAAAACTTACCCACTTTTTTAAATAGTTTGATACTTGAACAGTCTTATGGATACTGGAGAACTTCTTGGGAGACGTTGTTGAGTAAAAGGTAAACTTTGGTTGAGGGTGATCTTTGTAGGTTTGTTTCTTCTTAAGACCAAGGATACAAAACTTGGGTGACCAAGGGGTTCATAGCAGCTCCAGGCACTGCAGCTGAAGGGTGTTTATATTGTTCTGCACATCCTAAGCTCAGCTTTTCTCAGACAGTCTGTTTATTACAGGGATTGTATTTGATTTATAAGTTTTACGGATGCATACTTCTACATGTTGTCAGCTGATTTGTCTATATACAAAGGAATGTGATCCCCTGTGATTCCTTCTCTCTGAGACTATTTCCCTCCTGTCACAAAAATCTCTGAAATATTCTTCATATTTGGCAATGATCTTGATAGCAAGATCCTTTCTCTTGCAGTTGTCAATATTGGTGCACCCAGACAAAAATCAAGATGATGCAGATAGAGCCCAGAAGGCGTTTGAAGGTAATGCTCTCACCCTTTTTCTGGGCTGATAGTAGTTGGACTGCCATTTTTCTGTAGCTGGTTTAAATGTTTATTAGGGGCAGAGGCCCCAGTGATGACAGAAGGAATTGCTGTAGAGGCGCTTTAGATGAGGGAGGTGTGTGGGGTGGCATGTCAGCAGAAAATTTCACTAGGTGGCAGTAACTGCATTGTCAGTTCACAACAGGGACAAACATGTCCGTTGGGCTTTGAGATTGTTCAAGAAAAACTGTTTAATCTGTGCATTAGATTTTATTCAAAGACCACACGACAGAAGTAATGTGATGGTTTTAGGTGTATGTTTTGCATTATGGTGAGGCATTATGCACCTTAAACTTATGTCATGCCCTATAACTAAATCACTTGTTAGGATTGGTACTTTCACCCTGCTAACTCCAAAAGGT